GCCTCGCGGGCATACCAGAGCTCTCTAACAAATGAGTCCAATCTCTCTCAACGGAAGAGAAGAGTTGAGCTTCTCGAAGCTCACGGGAAAAAGCTTAGTGGTGGATGAAGTGTTCTCTGCGGGGAAGACACAAGGAAACAAAAGGTGCTCCGTGCGGTGGTGTGAAAGCGAGTGAGATTTTATTTTAGCTTCGTTCACTCCTCGATAGAGTTTGGCGGAATGGCGGGAACACAACCGTGGCAGATGAAGTCGATACGTTTCGGAACCTTCCCTTGGAATTGACAAACCCTGACGGCCCGGACCTACACCAGAAATTCGTCCGCGGCTCCCCAAGAAAAGTCTCGCGGCTCCTAGGGGAGCCGCGGCTACCAGGTTCGGCGGCTCCCCCAGAAAAGTCCCGCGGCTCCCCTAGGAGCCGCGGCTCCCAGGTTGGGAACCGCTGCTCTAGAGTCTAGACGCATCTCGCAATCTTCTCTGATAGCCAAACGGTAACGCCTTTTTGATCATGCATGATAAAGGTGCGGACATGCCGTCGTACGAGTTCCCTAACGTTAACAACGATTGAACATTTTGGACAATGCACTCCACGAATCTGATGAACTTAGTACAAGGATCCTCGTTTCTCAATCTCATACGTATAGGGTCAAGCAAGAAAAAGGAACGATGAGTCGTTCTTGGGGATACGGATCCGACCGTCGAAGCAGGGGAGCAAGCTTCTTGCTTGGTACTTCCCCATTTCCTGATGCCGATTATCTTTTACCAGACGCGGATCAAGTAATGCTTCTTCATCAATCATGAGACGAAGAGTGTCTGATTTCCGATCCACAAAACACCTCCGAGTGAAGCGCAGAAATCTCCGGAGCATAAGACAATTACATGTGCCGGTTCGCGCAGAGCCCGCTCTCTTAAGCCCTGACAGCGGCATCCGTCCTGACGGCATGTCTCTGACTCCTTGGACTCCAGGTAGACTTCTGGTGTGGGACGTCTCCATCCGTGACACCTTTTCCCCGAGTTACATGGGCTTGGCGAGAAGTGTGGGTGCCGTGGCCGCCAGAGGTGAACGTGACAAAAACATCCATTCCAGAACACTCTCAGAGGAATATATTTTCCTCCCCTTCGTTATTGAAACTTCGGGCGTCTGGGGCGAACAGGCGACTGCTTTCTCCAAGGAGATCGGTGGACGACTTGAGCAGGCTGCCGGGGAAACACGCTCGACGGCATTCTTCAGACAGAAAATCGCACTGGAGACCCAGCGAGGCAACGCAAGATTGCTTCTCGACGCTCTGTCCCGCGATAGGGGTCTTGATGAGCTTTTCTTCGTGTGAAATTTTCCTTAAATTAAAAACCCGTAGATTCAATTTAATGAAAATTTTATTCACTAGGTCACTAGACCATTACATTGGGGATGGCCGATGGCTGCCCGTATGTGTGAAATTCCCGACGCTTGGAGATGGTTCACAAAAACATTACCGCGGAAACACGTCGCACTTTTTAGGTCTACGGAAGCAATTCTTTGGCGCAGGGACACGGTTCCAGATTATTGCCGGTAGATAAGCCGACCAAGACGAACAATCATACGGGGAATGAGTTAGGATCTGCGCGATTAAGATCGAGCGGTCGATGCGATTGGGGCGACGCTTGAAGGGAATGCGAATACTACACATACATACGAGGTGCTCGGACGCTCTCGGACTCTTCTTCAATGACAATCCTGCTTTAATGTTCATCTGAAGGTTCGCGATCTCCGTCCCGATTGGAAAGGATCGCGATTGAACGTTCGAACTCTTACTTGGGAGACGAGCTTCTCGTTCCGGTTTCCAGAATTCTGTCGCAACCCTGGGAATCGTTCAGATGTTTCGCGTCTCGATGACGCAATCGTGGAGCCGCCCGTGGGCGCCAATTTCTAAGAGGTTTGAAGCTTTTGCGCTTTTTTAAGTCACAATTTCGGAATCGCGATAGAGTTTCAATGAACGGCGGAATTCCGCGAGAGAGCTTTCGCTGCTTCACCGTCGTTTCCCACCAGCTTCTCTCGGTTCCAATCTTCCGCTGCAGCGAGGTCCGGGTCTGGAAGAAGCGCACTGTGATAGTTCTAGCTATAGAATAAAGAGAATAGCACATATATCGGACCGGATTAGGCATCGTACGCTGCAAACAGAAATGGAATCACGATTTCATGGTGGAATTGACTTGGACGAGTTGTCGATATTCGAGAACAGAAATCGGAGAGCCGGGATCTTGATCCGATGAAGGGAAGGCGATTATTTCCACAGGATGTGGATTCCAGTATCTCTCCCGCGCGAAACCTTGCTTACCTATTCTCATTGCTGAGCGCCGCGCCGTTCGCTCCAGAAGGAATTTCCCTCCCTCAATCCTCTCCGATTTTCCCTCTCTCCCACATGCTTCTGAATTCTGAGCGGTCGATTGTCGTCTTCTTCGAATATACAATGGTGTAAACTCGTTCGATTCAGTTTGTCCATGGTCTGGAAAAAATGACACATTTTTAATTTTATTCATCGATGCGAGAAACGGTCGAGTTCCTTGAACTCGTGGTCTTACCCCGTCATAAACACCATGGAGAACCTGAGCGAAGAATTGCGCCAACGGATCGAGTTCAACAAAGCGCAGGCTCTTGCGCGAAGAAAACAAAAGGAAGCTGAAAGAATTGCTCAGTCAAGAGAGCCGCAGCTCAACCCCGTGCCAGCACCGGATCCCTCAGCCGCTCCTAGAGGCGTCTCGACGCACCACGGAAATGCGAGCAACTTTTTCGGCAAGAAAACTTTCGAGAACACGGTGAGGAGTTCGATAGAAGTTCCTCTTCGAGTTAGATTGCTCCAAATGAATACCGTGCCGCCGAACGATTGTTCGAGCGTATTAGGCTCGAATAGATATTTTCTTGGGACGCATTCTTTAACGTAAACCTGATCATCTATTGGTGACTCTGCAGTCTCGAGCGGTCAGCACGTTCCATAAGGCCCAGGTGGGGCCAACGAAGGTGAGAGACTAGAATCTTGGCACTGGATTCGCCTTATATACAGCCCATATTGGTTGCGACTCCTCGATTCTCTGATTACCTGATATCGTGATTGCGGTGAGAGATCCTAAATCTAGAAAAATCCTCAGGATACGAAGGCTCCGAAAAAAGAAGCGGCGAAAACAACGGGAATGTGCTTCCTTCTTTCCGGAGAGGAATTTCGCTTACAATGTGGCTTCAATCAAGCGCTCATCGATTTATTCAAATCTCACCCGAAAGGGCGGTGAGTGTTCACTGAAGGAATCAGTCTCTGCGCCGATGACCAGGGATGTCCCCAAAAAAAGCTCACCGTCCGCGAGTTAGAGCAGTTCTTCTTCCATTCAGGCTCGATCCGACCACTCGGAATTACGTATTCAAGCTCGAGTGCCATGAGAGTTTGCTCAACGCCGCCAAGAAAGTCGCACCAGAAGTTACAATAACCGGTCTTCCACTGTTCATATCCAAAGTAAATCTCCACTCGAGCGTTTGTGCCGACGTTACAGAGAATATTTCCGACCAAGCGGATTGGTTTTCATGATTGTCTCTTTATCACAGATGCTGCGATCCAACATTAAACAACCCGACAGTCAGGTGGATCTCCGTAGCATCGATCCCAAGCTACGCAAAGCTCTGATGCCGTTCCAAACCGAGGGAGTTGTCAGAGGAATCAGTCAAAACGGGAAAATTCTAATTGCCGACGACATGGGTCTCGGTGAGCTTCCAAATGTTCGATTCTGAGATAGAACCCCAACTGGGCCGATTTTCTAATCGAGCGTCATCCTCTCAATCGATGCATGCTAACCGGAGATTCGGCTGCGAGACTGCGATCCTCGCGAGGACTTATTCTCCGTTCACATTTTTCTCGCATCAGACTTATATGCATACCGTTGAGCGGAATGATGAGGGGCACAGGGACCACCTACCGCCAGACTATCCGTGTCTTCTGGGGCTCCCGGCTCATCCTTATTTTCTTATTCTCGTTTCTCTGACGATTTCCCTCTCCCCCTTCAGGTAAGACGGTCCAGAGTCTCGCTATTGCAAGCTATTATCGGGAAGAGTGGCCTCTCTTGATTGTCTGTCCCTCGTCGATGCGCTTCAATTGGAGACAAGCGATCGTTCAGTGGCTACCTTCGTTGACCGAGGATGACATACAGGTGTGACTCGAAACCGGCAGCAATGGAATGATATAGACGCCTGAAAAACATTTCGGGGTCCGAACAGATTCCGTGCGCCCCGAGCTCTGGATGCACTTCCCTGGAGTCTTCACGGAACTTCATTTTGCAGGTTATCGTCAAGACGAATGAGCCTCTAGGCGCTAATCAAGTTGTGATCACCTCTTATGAAATGATGGGTCGAAGAAGCGAGGATTTGCTTGGCGGTAATTTCAAGGTGAGAGGCTCCACAACTCCGCTTTTTCCTTCGTCCGCCCGAGCCCTGGAGCCCGCCTATCGCATGTTGGATCATTTGACCCACGCTTCCAGGTACTCATATTCGACGAGTCGCATTTCCTCAAAAACTACAAGTCTCAGCGTACGAAAGTCGCGCAAGAATTGAGCGCTGAAAGCCGTCGCATTATACTGCTGTCTGGGACTCCAGCTCTGTCGAGACCGGTCGAACTCTACCCTCAAATTCGATGTCTGGCTCTGAAACATCTTCCTTCGATATACGATTTCGCTGCCAGGTACCGTATTCCCAATCTCATCGCTCCCCGTGGAAAAGTGAGAAGATCTTATGGGAGGAATGCATGTGTAGTTCCTGTGGCTCATATCCCGAGTCTTCAGTACGGTTCGTACTGAACTCGAATCGATGCTTGATCGCTCGTCATTGTGAGCTCCCTGGGGGTGCTGCTCGTGGGCATTCCTCCGGCGATCATCTTGAGCGGATCGAAGATCGCTCCGGACGCTTCACGCGCTGGTGACTCATAAGAATTGAATTGCAGGTATTGCAACGCACGCGAAACCCGATTCGGACTCGATATGTCCGGGAGTTCGAATTTGGAGGAATTGCACATTCTCTTGAAAGCGATCATCATGATCCGAAGACTGAAGAGCGAAGTCTTGGATCAGCTGCCAGCCAAGCAGAGGAATGTGCTCATTCTAGATCCCACACTCGTGGACGCCAAAGACGCGCAAGCCGACAACTACAGTTTGCTGCTTCAAAAAGAGAGCCTCACGTGAGATTCCCGAATTTCCGCTTTCTGATGCACGAACCCATCTTATTTTCGAAAATTGTTCGGCAGAGGAGCTCCCTTCGAATCTGACGACGTTTGACCGTCTTTCAGGGATTCGGAGAAGCGCAGCGCTCTCATGAGTTATTTCCGTTTGACGAGCGAGATGAAGAGGAAAGCCGTGTGCAAGTACATCGAAGAACTCTTGGAGAGTGATTGCAAATTCCTCGTTTTCGCTCATCACCAGGTATGCACGATCATTGTAGCCTTTTCGCCTCTCACAGATCTACGGGGAACATTACAGCAGACTCGCTCGCTCGAGGACGGAGTACTAAAACTTTCGTCGTTCCCCCCCAGTATCTCCTCAACGCCTTGGCGGAAGTATTGACGAAGAAGAAGGTGAAATACATTCGCATCGACGGGAAGGTTTGTATTCCGCCCCTCTCCCCCATGTCCTTTGTTTTGCGGTCGTCACATCCGACTGGCTCGCAAGCTGAGTTCTTGCGATCCCCCGACAGGTTTCATCAGAAGCACGTCAGACTCTATGCGAGGAATTCCAGACGTCAGACGCTTGCCGTGTCGCACTGCTCAGCATCACCGCGGCGAACGCCGGTACGAACAGCCGGAGAATCGGAGAAACCCCCGCATTTTATGCATGACTGAAGGACGAGACGAATGACAGACCTTATCTGATGAACGAAAGTGAGAACAATGTCATTATCAAAGCCTATAATCAACGTCTTTCTGCCTAATAGGCATAACCCTCCACGCGGCGAGTCTTGTTGTGTTCGCGGAATTATTCTGGAACCCTGGCATTTTGACGCAGGCGGAAGATCGAGTCCATCGTATTGGACAGGTTGGCGGGCAATCTATTCATCTACATTTGGGAATTACATAAATTTCGATGCTCGTCTAGTCCAAGGGAACTGACCCTCTGCTCCCTCCTTCAGACGCAAACATGCTTGGTGACGTACCTGATTGCGAGAGGTACGGCCGATGATTTCATATGGCCCATCATCGAAGGAAAACTGTCCGTGCTGAATCGCGCGGGCTTGAGCAAGGATAGCTTCACGGGAGCTATGCACGAGGTTTGTCTATGCTTATCTGTACGAAGCTCAGCGGCTTCGACTGACTGAGTGGTCCCAACGCGAGTCGGTCGATGAGAGATATGAACTCATTCGCTTTCCAGAAAAAAGAGCATAAGGCAAGAACCAGTGATGACTCAGACGATGGCATGGACTACGAATCTCGGTGAGTGTTTCATATATTCATTCTATTCAGAAATGGAGACTGAAAGCTCTCTCATCCATCGAATCGACCTTCCTCCGCAGGCCAGCAACCACGAAACGTCAGAAAACCATGCTCGATTTTGTCTCGTTGTCGGAAGACTCCTTCTGGGCTGACCTTTCACAGGATACGACGCTGCCTGACATTTGAGCCGTCGTTCACGTCGGTCGACGGAAAAATTCCATCGCTGCCGCGATCGACGCCTTCCTAGCTCATCGCCGAATGAAGAACGACCTGCCGATTTGCCTCACTCTCGTAGGCACTTATTCTCGGAGATCGGTGGATTTTACATCTGAGGGTGGATCGTCCGGCTCAGGCGCCTTCTCGGAGGCGCTCTAGAGTGGTAGTCATAGTGGATCCATCCAGACGAATAAAGCTACGTTTTTTGAAAATAACCTTTCTCTTTATTCTAATTCATCTGTTCCTCATCGAATAGGGTAAGAAGTGGATTTGTATCATGGGTCTCGTGAAGTTTTGTCTCAGATCAAATTCAGCCCCCTCCTTCGACGATATACATCTGTGATCATACCGCTCCCCTGGGTACCCGCTTGGCGCTACACCGATCATGCTATCTCGTACCTAAAGACTACTCCGCGACGATCCTTCCCCACTACATTGAGGAATCTGGCTCCCGCCGACCGATCTCTAATTTGTGTTAAGGCATTATATGCAGTTCGTGGAAATGAGCTCCCGCGGTGAAAACAGAATATATCCTTAAGTATTTTGTGGTTCGAACTGTGCTACGCCGTTTCCCACACTGTTTGCATCGTAGGAAAATTCCGATGGAATCTCAGCTTCAGAGCTCGCGTCTATGAATCATGTAAGCTCCCGAAAAGTATGTTCTTGTATTTCATCGGCGACACTCAACGAGCACAGTTTCCCTCGAAATGCAGCCGCCGTGCGCCGCAGCCCGTCAGGCGCAAGTCGAGGAAGAATATATCTGCATAATCTGACTTCAGAAACGACTGATTTCCTCTAGTTCATGATCGGCACCCGAGCCAGAGATCGAGTTCGCCGAATCTCACTCCTGCCTTGCTCGATTTCCGATACCGGACGCAAATTCTAAGGGTCGCTTAGACGCTCTGGTATCCACGCTGCCTGTTCTTCCTTCGCGCAATCAGGTAAGCAACAAGAATCACGACGACGAGAATAGCGAGAGCTGAGCCGATGGCGATGATCACCACATCGGAGTGATAGTCCGACACGCACTCGAGCTGCGATCCGACGAAGGCGGCGCTCTTCTCCTGAAACAGCACAAACGTTACCAAACAGAATCATAGAGGCCTAACAGACGGCCCATCGAGAACTAATCCTCTCTTCGCTCACCCTCTGGAAGGCTTGGTATTTCAGCTCGGAAAAGATGAGCTTGACATTCTCTTCACCGAGAGAAACTTCGGATGCGCTTTGGCACTTGTAGTATTGCTTCATTGGCGTTGAGAATTGAGTGAGGTTATCTGTGGGAAATACATTCGGTCAGTCTGCGACGTCCAACGACTGAGGGCGCTTCCGCTCCCTGTGGCGGCGGCACACGGTGTCGGTAATCGTTCACTATCCCGAAATTCGCTGTCCTAACCTCTGTCGGCGACGAGGCTGGACGCCTGAACCGAGAGCGATTTGACGAAGAAGTTTGAAGCATCGTGTCCGATGACGATCTGGAGTTTGTAGTCATCCGCAGACTCGATCCACAAGGTGACCTGGGAATCGTCACAGCTTGAGCCTTTCCTCACTAAGCTCCCGTTGACGAATGGGTAGCTGGTGGCGTTCTGGGTGACAACAATCCTCGCCAGGACCACGGCGCAAACCTCCGCTGAAATTCGATTCACGGTGTGAGATAGTTCCGCGGGAGCATCCGAAGCATCCTGATTCGTCAAGTCGAAGAGTCTTCCGGAAGAGCGATCAATTACCTCCGTTCTGGAGTGTGTAGTTCCCGAGCGTTGCCTCCCTCGGCTTCGGAGGAGCAGGTGTTGTAGTGGGGCCATGGGTGGTTGGGGCATGCGTAGTTGGGGCACTGGTGGTCGGGGCATGGGTGGTCGGGGCCTGAGTCGTCGGGGCCTGGGTCGTTGGCGGAGCCGTCGACGAGGTGGTCGTCGCAGCCGTTGTAGAAGTCGTCGGCGGTGCTTCTGTCGTACCCTTGGTGGTGGTTTCTAAAAGAATAATCAACAGAGTCAGTCTTTCGACACAGGAATATCGATACTCGAGATTTGGAGTACCTTGCTTCGGTCACTCACAGAGATTCCTAGGGCAACCATCTGACTCCCAGCTCGGAGAGTCAGGTGTCCACATTATACGATCGTCCGAATGTCGTGAATATGCAGCAGCACACAGCGCTCGATCATATATGTATCTCGCTCGTACGCTGGTCTCCGCGCTTGCTCGGTCGCTCGTCATCGCCACTTTTGTCAGGAGTAATAGGCCAGCAATATGAAAACACTCCACCGACTGTGTTTGTATATTCCGCACGAAGTCAATTGATCTCTCGTCTAAACATGGCCGAATCGGTATTTCGAATCACAAACCAATATCCTGTTTTGTAGCTGACCGCGACATGCACCGGAATCCATCGAGTAGACTAAATATTATGAGCCTACGATCGCCAAGCGGTATCCGTTGGAGGAGTTTTGCAATGATTCAGGGGATCGCCGCTCGAATACCGCGGCATTACAGAGTCCATACTCTCGCGGTCCCCAGCGGAATTTCGGCGTAGAGGAAAACCTGCGGAAGCTCTTTCCGCAGCGGAGAGAATTGCCAGCACGCAGTCCGCAATTTTCCGCCCGAAGATAACTCCAACCGGCGGCGATTCATCACTGACTCTCTCGGTACCCGAAGAAGATACCACACAATCTCCGCACTTCGAACAGATTAGCGTATGCGGATAGAGGAGCGTAGAATCTAGCGGATGACGTTAGTCAGAGGATAACGCCCCTTCAATCTGAGTTTCCACGCGCTTGTCGACACTGTTTGGAGCAATCAGAGCTCTCGATAATTTTTTTTTGAGACTTGATCTCAAGTTGTAATTCTCTTCTAACACGCGCCTAACGCAGAACTTCATTTATCCATGAACGAGACAGCCTCGGAATCGGTATTTTCAATATTGTCTGCTGCTCGCTCAGAGGAGACGCTGACCGACAAGCTCGATGACGTGCTGTATTCTGCCCGTGTTGTAATGATGCCCACAGCCACTTCATGTGATTTCCTGTTCCTCGATAGATCGGACTAGTCGAAAGAACGAGATATCGGCGACGGAGCCGGTTCCCATTGGCGACCAAGGAATCACTATATCTCGCGCTGAGAAGTGGTAACTGAGCTAGCGCCTCGACAAGACAATCGAGTTTCCATGAGTAGTGTTACAAGAACTCGAAGAAATCGTAGCTGGCCCTGCACTTTAACTCATCGAACTTTCCACATGGGATACATTCAGTTCGAACTCTCCCGAGAAGCTCCGCAGCAGCCGATACCGAGCTGTAGTGCCTTGTCTGCTCGCAAGCTTCTAGAAAGGCGATTTGGCAACGACGCAATTTGCGAAATGACCCTTATGATTTCGTCGCCAATGAAATCGAAGTATCTGTAGCGAAACGTGCGAGTTGCTATGCGAGTTCAAAAGGTCGTGTGCAACATCAAAGTCGCATCGCTCGATTCCGGCTCGTCGCGGAGCTCGCTTGCAGCCCCCGCTCACTCCCGATGCAAAAAATATCCGTCGACGATATGTGCTCGGGGTAACAAGTCCGTCGTCGATAAGTCGGCCGCACGTTTTCAATGATATCTCAAGTATGCACAAGACGGCGTGGAATTTCTCTGTCCCCAGTCGCCGCCTCCTGAAGCTTGTCGCCTCCGAGAGTGCTTTTCCTGTTCAGATGTCCTACCTTGAGTCACGGCCACAGCCACGAATGCAGCCATGAAAACAGCGGTCGGGAACCTCATGATGGAACACGGTTGAGATGCAGAATCCTTAGAAGTCAACCTTTAGCAGGTTCTGTGAAACCCGATCGGAACTCAATGACGGCCTCCTACGTCGAAGTTCACTCACTGACTGAATTACTCTCAATGACAAAGCTCGCTACTTGACGGATGGGCTTTCTGGCAGTCGCCGCCGCTGTGCAGTCGATAGAGTGGGAGAGAGGTGAGGGTAATAATCTTCAAGTTTCTCTCATGTGTTTCTCTGGCATAGCGCTTGCAGACGACTGTGTACGCGAATGATGGTCATGGTTTATGATACCGGCGGAATAGCGGTGCGATGCGTGCGGTGTGTCTCGGCGATGGGGCATCCGCCACTGGCAGTTTGGTGAATTCTGCTCTTTGAATGCGCGTACGAAACTCACATGGATTGATTCGCTCCCACCTTGGTCTCAAGGGCGAAACGTCGTCGAGTGATTCGCTGCTTGCCACGAGATGAGACCGATCTCGAGCCGACATCGATTCATTCGTCGACGTCATTCATTAGTCGGTACATGTCGTTTTCTCGGAGTGGATACCTATCGTGGATAGATGGTCGGACTATCGAATTTGAAAACTTCTCCCCGGTCCACCTGAGCCTTTGCACGCAGTGGCGGACGACTCGCGGGGGAAGCCCATCAGCTGTAGAGAGAAACTGATCAGGGGAAAGCAGAGATCTGAATCAGCTGAGGCGACCCCTTTGGAGTTTCATTTTCTCGAGTTGTTGCATCATTCCATCGGTTGGAGTTCCACCTCCTCCGTTGACGGAAGAGGATTATCTGCGAACTCTGCACTCGGGATTTCAACCCAGCCACGCGCAAAATGAATCCACGAAGGGATCCGTTCCTCCTAGATCATCAGAAGAATCAGCTACGGTTTCCGACAAAATTCCGGGACCGCGAGGCTTGAGAGTCCAATCTCGAACACCGCCGAGCTCCCCCAAGAGAGACCGAGAATCAGAGACCGTGGATCAATTGCCGTTTGGATGAGAGATTTTGAGCGGAACTCTCGCAACGAAAAAAGAATGAAGTATCCGGGATGGCTCTCACATCGCTCCTCACGGAGGGCATGAATTACGGCGGTCAAATGCTCGGGGGAAGATGGATTTCAGCACCTTGTCTGAAGCAATCACATGTCCGATTTTGCCCGAGCATTATAAACTAATCGTGCCATACATTCTCCTGCATCCAGAGGAAATGAGAGTACTTAGATCTCCAAGACTGATTCCGTTCTCAACCAGGAGCGGCGGCCAACACAGACGAGTTTGTTGTCATGTAGAGAAATTACTACCACTCACACATGGGCGGCGCCATATTTGATTCAAGCTGGCGCGCTTCGATTCGTCTAGTAGGTCTGACGGTTGTGGTGTTTTCGAATGAGACTTGAGCCGCGATAGGTTCGGATCCCTCTTCTCAGAGCCCCGTGCGATTCAAACTTGAAAAGCTGAGTTTGTGCAGCCTCCCGACTTTGGGATCCGTCAATCTCGACAATGACGAGCTTATTCCGGAATCTCGAAAATGTACTGGATACTGTTCAGAGACGGCCGTCATCTAAAGATTCGTGCGCAGAGAAGATAAAGCAGTTGATCATCGAAAACGGGTGAGCTGAAAAATCTTCCGGTCGAATTCTCGCCCATGGACAGCTGCTGCGGATCTTCCAGCAATTCTCGAACTCTCGGTCGAAACGAATACCATGGATTTCCTCCCCGGACATCGACGGCGAACTAAGATCTACGAGTTTAGCTCGGAAGAAGTTCCCGTTATATAGTATGATAGAGTCCTCCCGAATCTCGGAAGTGTCTTGTCAATAGAGCTCTCTTATAGTTTTGACCAGGAAGGTCTTGCTTTGGAACCACATATCCGCTGCGCATCCGGCTACCCCAGTTCGCGATGGCAATTAGAGTCCCTGCGTCGCATCCTACTCAATTCAGAGTGACTTTTGTCCAAGCTGACATTTCGTGACGGGAGTGTGTTTTTGTTTCAGGTGGGAAATCGTTTGGTTTGGCGATACAAGATCGAGTAACCCTCGAGGCCTGAACCATATTGTCAACTTCATCTTGACCTGCAAGGATCTCCGCGAAGATGCCTGTTCAAGACTTATTGATTTCATAACCACTCTCGCGAACTTCGTGGAGCTAGCAGAGAATGGTGAACAGCCACTATTCACCAAGCTCTTTGACAAAATTATACCATTCTGTTCTGTGAGTTTCTGAGATTCAAAGATATCATATTTCTTGGGAAATGTTCGACTACAGACAAAAGTACCGTCGACGAGCATCTCTGACTTCGCTCCGTGCTCGCGTAATTTTCCAGGATGTATGCCCGATACGCCGCCTTAGAGCTGCGACTATGCTCGTACGAATGATTAGAAAACTCAAGAACGAGGAATTCCTCTCTGATGCTCAGTTCGATGATATGGCGAACTTGGCCCCGAGTCTCGCCATAGACAAGGTACGCCTCCGAGAACATACTTCTGTTCTCGTATGCTTCATGAGGATAGCTCCGCATCCTGATGCTTTGATTGGGCGTCTCGAATTCTTTCTGCTATTGTTTCGTCCCATTCGCGCAGGTACCTGCAATCCGTTGCGAGGGTATACGGCTCCTAGCGAAGCTGCAAGATCCTCGAGATCCATCCTGCGTGTACATAAACAAGATCCTCTTCCATATGGGAAAAGATCCGAAAGCTGAGGTAAATTTCATCCCCCGAGTCTGCGAGGCATTATCGCCCATTTTTGTGAGTGCTTCGCTCCGAGGCTGGCGCTGCTTCTCAGAGGAGGCTCCTGAAAATTAAGCTTCCCATGTAGGTCCGGCGCACTTGCGTAGAGGTCATTGCGCTCAGTTCGCGCTCTCTGGCGAAAATTCAGCGACGATCCATGGATGTCAGTGCCTCCGTCCGGAAACAAGTTTACATGGTCTACGCTAAAAGACTGAAACTCAAAGTGCTCCAGCTTACCGACCGAACTCATATATTAACTCGCGGCTTGATGGACCGCAGCCCGAGCGTTGTTCAGGTTGGGAAAACATTCGTCTTCAATGAAAGCTTGTTTGCGAGCGATGTCGAGATGGAACTGCGATCGCGTACATCGATCGAAACATCAATCCGGAATGACCAGTCGTTTTCGCGCAGGTTGTCACCGACGAATTATTACCCAACTGGTTGGAACAGTGTGACGGAAGTCTCTATAGTCTCTTCGGTAATCTGGATCCGTATCACAAGCCTGAGACGACCTCCCGAGTGATCGAGGTTTTCCTAGATAAGAAGAGGAAAGAGGATGCCCTCGAGGCATTCATCGATGATTTCGTTGAGAATCGTTTGCCGGCCGGTGAGTCAATGTCTGGGATTGTGTCTTGGGAGAATATCCTGCGGAATTCGACGCTGTTCCCGCTATAACCATACCTAATGGGGATGATTTCACATCAAATCATGCTCTGGAGTTTTCCCAATGCTGCTTCATTCCCACAGGCGATTCCCTCAAAGAGGAGACGATAACTGCTCCGATCCTGATCGTTTGGCGCGAACTCATCATATATTTGAGAAAGCACGGCGATGATGAACTTTGTCACGCGTTCCTTTTCAAGGTACCCATGAGTATTTCGCCCATCAGATTCGCCTTTCGGTCTTTTCCGAGCCTTCTCCTGATAGAGAGAGAACTCCGTCGGTGTAGATGCCTCCTATTTCTCGCGAAACTCATTTGCAGGTGCTGCCGCCCACTGGACGCCTGGCTCATCTCATGGTGCGGACAGTCGGCAAATCAGAGGATACGCTCCAGGCGCTGGAGATTGTGAATCATCGCTTGGTTTGCACACAACTGATACTGCTATTGACTCACGCCGATTTCTCGGATTTCGCTGGGAAAAGTCGTCTGAATGAGGCCGTGAAAACTTTCCTCGCCCAACGGCAGATGGAGCACTTTGTCGAGCCTCTGGTTAGCAAAATAGCGTTGTGCCATTCGGTGTTACGCCGTACATTCTTGGTGATCGAGAAATTTGTCGCGTCCAATCGATCATGCCGGATTTTTTTGTGAAAACTCTCCGCTCCACCACAGGTTGGGCTCCTTGCCATTCTCCACGACAATCAAAGCGACGCAGTCTTCCGCGAGGTCCTCGAAGTAATCTCCGAAATCGAAAGTCCTTTCCTGGACGCTCAAGATCAAGCTAACGTCCTCAGCAGGAGTATGTGCGACGCGGACCTCGAGATGGAGGTCGACCCCGTCAACGGCGGAAAGGCTGAGAGCCACAAGAACACTTCCAGGGGTGAAGAACCCATAGAAGTTGTCCAAGCGAGAGTACAACTCACCCTCTTGCGCGAAAAAATCGAAAATCTTGTCGCCACTCAGCAGTTCCTGTTGGCTCAAGAGACCAAATTCGAGATGGAGAAGCATCAGGCTATCGTCGATCAATATGAGGAGACCAAGAAGAAACAGGAACAAAGCTTCTTAGCGAAGAACGATGACGATGATGATTTCGAGAAGTCGTTCGAGCGCGGACTTGAAAAAGAGAGGCAGACTGAATTCAAGGTTGGTGTGCCTTCAGACTCGGAAGATAGCTCCGTCCATTACGCCATGCGAGCTTCTCCAGAAAAAGCAATCCACTCCCAACTCCGGTCACCGTGTAAAATTACAGGACCTAGTCACTGACGACCAGACTACCCGCCGATGTCTCGCTATAATGTCGCTGGCGATCCAGAAAGCGACGCCGAAGCGTCTGGACACCATGTTGCAGAATTTCATCGAGCAGAGAGCTCTCCAAGTGAGTCATAACACCCGTAGAGGATTCTTGATTCTCACGATAAGCGAATCGTACTCGCGCGATGCTTCTCCGAAAAACTCCGCCTCCAAGCATAATTATCGTTCCAGGCTATCTGCAGATCACAACTAGAGGTCCGAGCCGAGGCTGTTCGCTGCCTGAGCTTCGGTTGCATACTGAATAAGGACTTCGCCAAGAGCAAAATACCAATTCTGACTCACATTGCGAAGAGCGACGTCGAGAACATCCGAGTCATCGCTCTGCAAGGTGCGTCATCTTTCTCACCAGACCCCAATCCTCTCTGTTTCGAAAGCTCAGATAAGAGGTTTTCTTCACGCTGATTCTAGGAATCGTTTGTTTCAGGCATTTTCGATCTTCTCTTGCGATTCGGTATCAAGACATTTTCAGAAGAAGAGAACTCGATGCTTTCGACTCATCTGTCCTTCTCGGCGATGTCGAGTGTCCCGACGGAAGCCCTCCAAGCGATCATAACATTCCTGGCGGATTTCCTGAAACTGAAGAGTGAAAAACTCCTCGAAGTTGTTATCGAAGGCTTATGCAAACTGATGTTTGTCGGCCACTTGGTTTCGCCCCGTATCCTGGCTCATCTGTTGTCGTTCTGGTTCAACGTCAATTACTCGAAGAACGCAACCATAATTCACTGCCTGTCCTTGTTCTTCGAAGCTTACCCGAGGGTGCGTTCTGCCTTATGCACAATTCCACAGAAGTAATCGGAAGAGTTTCGTACTCGATTTATGCATCTCAGTCCAAACGATTCCCTCCCATCACCAAACCTTTTTCAGATGTCAAAAGACCGCATGGATGTTGTGCGAGAAGCGTTCTTTCCCTGTGTCCGACTTTTCTTAGATGCAAGTGATTCTTCGGCACTGGCTACCGTGAACGTGGATCGAGTCGTCGAGACCCTGATATCCCTCTGCGACATCAGGTAAGCACATCGGATCCGAGACGCTCGATAAGCGGCTCGTAATCCCGTAGAGACCTCAAGCATGCTATTTTGTTCCTCTGCAGATGTATGCCAGCCGATAAAATTCGAATGGACGACACCCCGACGCCTCACGATCATCTAGCCGAGGACCTTCTATCGAAATTATTGAGGGATCCCTATTGCAGCGAGGTGAGCTTAATGTTAGGAGCACCTCAGGGAGAGTAATTCGACACCGCTCTCGAACTCGGCCCTGACTTCGGTCGTTTCCTATGAAGTCAGAACTCATAAAGAGATATTCCTTCAGGTCAAGTACTATTGTCGTGGACTGTCGCGTCTTTATATTAGCGGCTCGGCGGATCACCGGGCCCTCTTGAGATTATCCCGAAAACTTCTGAAGAGAATCGATTTGCCGATGTGCAAGAAGCAAATCCAGAAATTCGAGTCTTGCGTGCGTAAGTACGTCGAGAAAGACGATGAAAGCCAGAACAGTGGTGATCGTGCGGAGACTCCTGCGGCGCCAAAGGGCGATGAAGAATCCGATAGCGACGAGGAACCCGCTTCGCTGGCCCATGACGTCGCGCTCCGGAAAACTCTCCGTCGGAGCTCGAACTTGGCTGAAGCTTTGTTTTCGGACTCTGACTAATGAGCCACGAGGGTCGAATAAATCTACAGATCCGAGATACACTGTACACTGGGAATAAAATCAGACAGTGTTTAATGTAAGAAGGATAGTCTTGAGTATCGAGGTATATGCAGACTGACGCTTGACTGCCTGAAGGTTTTGAAAATCGAACGGGTAGAGCTCTGTTCCCCAACAGTTTTCGGGGGGGGGGAAGGAATGGCGACCTGCGAGGACGCCCCACATCTCCCCAGGGCCAACGGAGCCAACGCCCCTCGACACAAATAATGACGATTTTCGAATACCGTAGCGCTATAGCCAGTATTCAAGCGCCTCAGCATAGAAAGACGAAAGCTTCTCAAGTCCGAATGACGATGGAAATCTTTTATTCGAGCATTATATCCTGGAGCGAGCAGAGAAATTTCGAACTCGATCAGTCGTCCTTGAGAGTATGACAGAGCGATCGTAGATTTTGCATCTTCCCTAGTTCTCGGATCCCCTGTTGCTTCGTTCCGTCAGATTTACATCGGGAGAGCTTCATTTGAGGAACTTTATTTTCTCCTCATAGAAATTTAGGAAGCCCGATTGCGGTTCCTCGAGCGGGACCGTTCCCTCGACGGACTTCGGGAGAAGCTTCTCTCCCGGGCTCCCCCTCGTGGCGCTCCTCCGCCTCTGGCTTCGGCACGATCCTTTCCATACGACCTACTGCGAGATCTGGATCGGCTCCGGGAGAAAGAACGTCTTCGTTCGAAACTCCTTGAACGAGATCGACGACCTCCACGCCCTCCACGATGACCTCCGTTGCGCCGTTTTCCGTGGGACATCTCGCATTTCACGCGAGAGCCGCAGATCCTGTTGAGTAGGAAATCTTAGTTCGAAATCGATGCCTCGGCTGCATTGTTGGACAAGAGCGTACCGTCAGAAGTCAATCGGCTCGGCGAGCTCTCGATACGGTCACTCCGAGCTTCACGGACACACTACGCACCACAGACCTTCGGAGGACGGGGAAACGTAGCAAAAGAAGAAATCGGCTGACTGATTGACGCTTGGGCGAACGAAGGGCGCGATTTCGGACGAAGACAGTATCGTAGGAGCTGTGTCCACGAGCGTCTTAATCTATCGAAGTAGTCGAACACAATCGAAGCTCGGCAAAGGATACGCTCGAGCGTGCCTCGAGCCTTGGTGTGCGGACGTAAGAGAGGATTTCGCTGCACCGATTACAGACGTATTAGGATGTCTCGGCTGTAGATGCTGTGCGCTGTATGGCCAACCGGAGTTCGACGTCGAGGCAGATAGGGTCTAGATCCCCCAGAAGACTTCACCCAATCGACTCTTATAAGTCTAGAGTGCAGCTTGATCGAAAGCTGAAGAACGATCTGCTCGTTGTTTTCCCCGTGAGAACGGTCGACAAGGTTACCACCCGAAGGGGGCCGACCACCGTATTTCGTCGATTATAGCGACAGCCCCAGCAGGAGCTCAAGTTCAGAGGATCATGGACAGGAAAGCGAGGGAAGGATCGGTAGTACACATGTAGGGAAAATTATCCGAGGTAGGACATCAAGGCATGCCCCTATGATTGAGGAAATACGGTATACGGAGCCGAGCAAGAGGGGGTCCGGTTGCTCTCCGCATAGGGGATAGTCGGGGGAACAATGTCGAAGGATCCCACGCCGCGAGATCGGAACATGGCTGTTATCATGATATTGTTTCCGAGCACGCCCCTGGCTGGTTGAATGCGTTCTCTTGGTCGTGTTGACAGAGAACGAAAATTTCGATTAGAGGCACCAAATGTGCTTTTGAAGCATAGTATCACATGTTTGTCGATGCTCTAAACTCGAAACTTACCTACTACCGTCGACCGCTCTGACGGCATCCTCGGCGTCCCGAGAGTCCTCGAACTCGACGAAAGCGAAACCGGGCGGGTTTCTGGCGACCCACACATTGCGGAGATTGCCGTATTTGCTGAATACTGATTCGACGTCGTGCCGGGAGGCATGAGTGGCCAAGTTCCCGATGTACACCTTACAGGTCAACTCCCAGTCACGCTTAGACATCTGCAATAGAATAATTTGGAGAGTTATTCCGAGAGCTCTCCGCCGCCGGTCATAGCAGGAGTCAGAACCGCCGAGCTGAGAGAAAGCTCCGCTCCCTGTGCCTTCATAGCAACGACATATGTACATGGAGACTCCGTGATAAGTGTCCGATTCGGGAGTATCCTCTCGCTCGGACTTGGATGCCGTCACTAAACAGAATCAGAACCCCTCAAAGAATCCCGGTGTAGGTTTCCATGCGAGAATGCACCCGACGGCTTCTGACTATGGAGGAGCGTCGCTCCAGTGGGCCGTCGCTCCGACATATTCCGGCTCCAGCTCGCGTGAGCATCACTGATGTTTTAGCACGGAATCTGGAGCCGCTGAGCCCGTACACCGCTCGGGGAGATCGTGTTCCAGCTCAGGAATTGAGGCTCCATGCAAATCTTCGGAGCTTACCTTGGAATCGCCTTGTTCCGACTATCAACTTTGGGAGCGCAGTCTCTGCAGGAGCCTCGTCCGGAGTGTCTGCGTGTTTGTACCGCCCGCCGCCACAAACAAGCTTTGAGAGAGCACAGACTTGCGCTCCGCGCCTCGTGTGTCCGATTCGTAACCACACACCCGCCAGCTTCTGTGGCGCCGCGAGCACCCCAGCGGCGAGAGGTGTTGCGGCCGAGCAGCACTGCGCAAACGAGCTCGAGCTGATCGAAGAACCGGCAATTCTAGCTGAGGGGGGAACCCGGAGTGACTGGGTGATTTAAGCTTTCATAGAGAATTTCGATCACGAATATGTATCAGGATCCTGATCGATCAAGGACCATCGAGCAGGAAATCTCGAGGAAGCTGATTCGGTGAAGCTTGCCCCTATTTCGGGTGCTCCAATATATAAAGCCTGCCTCCCCTCCGAGCGGGGCGTCCACCCGGCCCGACTCCAGCTCTTCGGTTCGGCTCGAACGCGACTCAAGGGTGGGGCGTCTGCGCGAGGACGCGTTTCAAATCTGGGGTAAACCCTGATAGGACTTGACTGAACCCTGATATGTACTTTGAGCTGCTGATGATGGAGGGCAATTGTGAGCAATCTTCGGAGCGGGTGCAGCGCTCGCTTATCCAGAACAACGATGTGGAGCCATTACTTCAAAATCGGCAGGAGAGGATGAAGCACGAGACTTGGTCGGATCGCAAGCGGAGCCGGGGGTCGAGTCGAACCGGTCAGCGCGAACTGATCTTTGGAATTCCACCGGGCTAAGATCTCGCGGGTGAATGTATGAGCCAAAGAATCTCGACACAGCCCCATCCACTCTCTCTCAGCAGTCTCAGCAGGGAGCATCAAGTCCTCATCGGGATTGGGAAAAACAAACAGAGTCGAGATGAAAGACGTGACCACGCTGAAGCTCCAACCAGGAAATCATCAGAATCATCAAGTTCTCCTTCCTCCAGCACATGTCGCCTCCGCCGAATCTCAGAGCTCCCCCCTCCCACGCTTCGTCTGCGGCCGTCCGACAAAGCATTCTTGCTATGGTGACTCTCCGATGTGGAAATTAGACGGTCCACCGCATCGGGGCGACGGCGTCCGACAGCTGCAGCGATCGTCCCTTGATTAGTCCCGATGACCCCCTCACGAGAGCCGTGACCGAAGTCGGTCCCTCTCTGACTGAGTGACTCCGAGATTTCTGCGGGGTAAATCATGATCATGAGCCAATGTCTCGCCTGTTTGTCCGTCGAGATCGAAAAATATTCCTCTCGGAAGCGCAGGTTTTCGGCCTTGATCCTCTTGGGTACATTTGCTCTATGGATCCGTCCTCGGAAGCAATGTGAATAACAGTACCCGGGACGTTAGACCTAGGCTGTGCATATCAGCTCGAGGAAGTTGAGTGGGTGAGGGCAGCCGTCTGAACACGGGAACTTCTAAGTACCGCTCTCATTACATCGCTCGCTGTGGGGCGAACGGATTTCTTTTTATTTCCCCTCCTCAGGCGGATGGTGAAGTCCATTGAATCAATCACGAGAACCAATCATCATCGTTGTCGGAGCAGGATCTGCGGGTCGTGAGCGGTTGAGGGGCGAGGCCATTCTCGGCCGATCATGAACGAGAATTCTCTTACTCGTAACCAGGAGCCGTGCTTTTCAGAATACTTCCCCTACGGATCCCGCTTATCCTGGGGGGAGTCTCGAGGGACGAGTACTCCCAGCACGGAATAAAAGGAGATCGTCGTTTTTTTCCGCATCCGGTGCAGATCGGTGGCTCTCCAAGCTCTCCATTCCCCTGGAGCAATTCACGATCCATCCGCTTTGCTGTGTACAGCAGTCTTTGCGGTTGGCAGAACTACCGCCAGGGGGCGATCTACTGTTACGCTTCGTATTCCTCTCAATGCTTGCCACTACAAAACATTCGCTGGGCAATTGCAGCTCCGTTCGAATCCCGTGACAATCCAAATGGATACCGTTAACGCAGATATCATCATCGTAGGCGATACGGATACAGGCAAGACTAAGTGAGTTCAGTACCCGAAATACAGTGACTATGGTGTTCATATCTACATAGAGCGCGCAAACTCGAGACCAATGATTCATGATATTAGAATCCTCCATGGAATCGATTGAACTGTATGTTATTCGAACATCTATCCGAGCTCCCACTGTCATCATCTGTGTTGTCTGAGACTCGGAGGGAGCTCCACTGTTCTCCCTCGCTTGTGAGAAGACAAACATTCCTTTCCATTCTCGCGCTCTCTCACTCCAGTCATCCGAGAGCGAAGTTTCAGTCTCAGATATGGACTGGTCGCCGATCACAAGAGATCGGTGTGTAGAAATGAGGGTATATACCGCGGGCCGTTCATGGATTTGGAAAGCTTCCGGGAGCTCCCCGGGGAGTAGATTCACGAAATTGAGACTCTGGATTCAGAAATCAATGTTGAAGCATGCAGGGAGGTGTCAAGGGAGAATGGGGAGAAAAGGGAAGAATGAGTCGATGAGTTCCCTGTCAGAGCCAGCGGTCGGATTGCGGAGCTTTCCGAATAAATCGAGAGTGATTTGAACGACGAGACCGAGTGGTCTACTACGGTGACCATTCTCTGCTCGTTGTGCGTGTAGAAGCTTCTTCGAATGAACCATCCGAGATTTCAGAGCCTGCGAATCCACGACTACCCCCTGGGTCGTGATTTTTCGCCCGCATCGTTTCCATACCGCTAATTCCATACGACATGAGGAGTAAGATGGGTCTCGATTCATCGATCTAACCGATTCATTCGCTGGAATCGATCTTATCAAAGCCCGCTCTGTGTGTTGAGGGGAGCATCCGGATGTTGCTCACAATCAACAGTCGGAGGAGTTCATTGATTCTCGTTTCAACCTGCATGGCGTGTTCTCGACTGCAGGATAGCCCTGCATCCTGATCTAGAACCTGGTGGGGAGCTCGTTTCAACCTCCCAGTTGGGGCTCAGAGTCGGATCCAGCATCTTATTCCTCTGCTGGGCTGCTTGACGTGACGGGACGAGTGAGCCGAGGATTCCTATTCCAGTCTCATGCTCCGCTTCATCACGGCGAAGTTCGCGGAGAATTCCGGAAGAGCGACGTATATCGACTTCAAGTCTCGCACCGTTCCCCTGGGCGAAAAATTCGTCAGACTCAAGATCTGGGACACAGCAGGCTCCGAGAGGTTCCGCGCTCCTATGCGGCCCTATTATCGAAAAGCATATGGCGTCATTGTCGGTGAGTGGAACCTTCAGTGCCTCGAGGAGAAATGCCGTCAGCTCGTATTAATGAGTGCACCGTTTGGTAATTCTCTTCTTGTTCGCCGACCTTTAACTAGTCTACGATATCACGAGGCGCGAAACATTCAAAAATTTGCCGTCTTGGCTGGATGAAATCAAAGAATACTGCACCGAACGGAAACCAGTGATTTTGCTGTGTGGTCTCAAACTGGATCAAGATCCCAAGCGTGAAGTTTCGTATACCGAAGCGGTCATGTTCGCTGCGAAACACGAAATGCTGCATTGCGAGACTTCTGCAAAAACTGGAAAGAACGTTGATTTCTGTTTCCTCCAACTTGGAGCCAAGGTCAGTGCGTTCGGTCACCAGGGTTCTCCTCCGGCGATCCGACAGAAAACGTCCCAAAGGCTACTCTCCAGTATTTTTTCCAGATTCTGGAGAGACCGGACTTGTGCTCGAATTTGACCAATGGGACTCCGATCGTCGGCCGCAAGAAAACGAAAAATGACTCTTGTTGCTAGCATGAGGGCAGAACCCCCACCCATGCACTTCTTCTCCCCGGGAATCCAATTCAAGAGCTCACCTCGCACATATCTGGGCTGTGTATTTCAGATCGGTTCCTGAATAAAAGTTGTCGCTACTGTCGAGCATTTCTCATTCCTGAGGAAGACCTTGAGACTTCAATGAACGACGGCAGACGAATGAATCACTAGCAGCATGCAATATCGTAGACCGCAGGGAATCCTGCTAGGGAAACCGCACGGCTCCGCCTGTGGGAGACTTTTCGACTCACGGGACTTCCATCACTCGGGGGATGAATTCGTATAGCAAGACTGTATGAAACATTCACGGATCAGTCGCGTCGATTGAAGAACTCTTCTGCATCTGTCGCCGCTAGATGCTGGCCCTCAATG